AGCATACTGATGACATCACCACACGCTTAGCTCGTCTGGAGCTGCATTTTACCTCCTGTTATTAATAGTCTCTAGATAATAATAAATTCAGACTTTTTTTTTCATTGGGGGGGGGGGGGGGGGGGGGGGATAATTAACACAGTCAGATTAACACAAATCAAATGAACATTTTGCCAAATAAAACAAAAAAATCGCCATCAGAGCCAGTAGGGCTAACGTTAGCCTCGGAGGTCCGCTGCTTGCAGTCCTCTCAACTTCTGAATTTTTTTTTTAAATTGCGCATTAAATCAGTAAATCGGCCATATAGTGACATTTAAAAGAATAATGTTCTCGCCCCAAAAGATCTTAAAACGTCCTTTTATTGAACAACAGCAACAGAAAAGAGAACTTTTAACTTAATACTCGGAGCTCTGTGAGCGCTAACCTGGAAACTGCCACCGCCGCAGTGCATGCTGGGACAGCTGTCAATCTCAAGAATGGACAAGTCTGCTCCGATGCATGCTGGGTAAAGTGGGAGGGGCGAAGAACAACATCCGGGGACCTTGACATTTCTTTGACATTTCTTCTTGTTCTTGTCAATTGGAACGACTTTTGCATTCTTACGATCACATGATCACATATTGAGAAATGGCAAAGGTCTAATGACCGAAACAAGGAGGAAATATGGCACAGAAACACATTACGGATTTTTCTAGAAAACCACCAGTGACGAAGAACACTAGTACCGTAACCATGACAACGGAGAGCAGATTGAGTGAGGAGACTGTCCACCCGCCTCTGATGGCAGATGAACCGGCAGGCCCAGCTGCAGCACCCGTACCCCAACCTAGCGTGATTGGATCAGAAAAGCCCTTCCAGCCAACATCCAGTTTCAAATTTCCTGCCTGGCATTGTAGTAATAAAACTTTCTCACATTCTGTGGCACCGGCTTGGTTTGCTAGATGGCAGTGGCGGCATTAAGTGGAAGAGAAAGATCACATTTTGTCATTTGTTTCCCTGAAAGCAGTCAGAAAAATGGAGCCTAGGTGGAAGTTCAACTGAAGAAACTCATTGCTCTCCTACATCCACCATCGTAGCTAAAGCTTCATCAGAGCGTCATTCCTCCCGGACTCTTACTGTGTTCCCTGTCTCATTTCAACCGGTCAACCAGAAGACCGCCATGTTGAGCCTGGTTCTGCCAGAGGTTTCTTCCTAATGTGGAGTTTTTCCTCTCCACTGTCACTTCATGCTTGCTCATCATGGACAGGTTCTCTCAACCTGTGTTATCCAAACTGGACTTCCATCTTCCAGGTCACTGAGTGAAGCTCTAATATCAGCTCACACAGTCCACTGGATCTCCCCATAAAGCTCAGCAGTCTACAGACTGACCAACTTCATCTATCTCCACTCCACCACCAGTTTCAGGCCTGGGGGGGAAACAGCCCAGTTCTTTACTCCTGTTCATGCATATTCATCAAAATTAAGCGCTTTGTTTCCTGCCGAGGTCTGAGCGCCAAAGACAAAGTAATTGTATCAATAAATTTCTCCTAATTGTCTTTTCTCTTCGTGTGAGTTTTTCATATTGATAAAAAGTCATACCAAAGTTAAATTTAAGAAAGACAGCCCCTTTGTGAATAACTGCTTTTCAAATAATTCTGGAGGTTTGGATCCACTTTCCTCCAAGGGATCGTTTGAGTTTCACACTGAGCAAGGGATTCATCTGCACCACAGTATGTTCAAGTCCCACAGGAAATCTGAGTGGCAGTTAGTTTCTCCGTTCTCCTACAAACAATTGCATTCTGGGTAAACCCTGTCCGCCCTCCACCGAATGAGACAAACACTGGAACACCCCCACACCGACTGGAGTCAAAGAGTCAACCACTTTTCTGGAAACGTGAGTCTGCAAACTATTTCTCCTCTTCAAGTCTGAGAATCTTATTGTTAAGTTAAATTAATAGCGCATATATTTACCTGAGAACTGATGATGTATTTGTGTTACAGACCCTGGTTGCATCCACTGAAGTGTATATGACAATAAAGCAGTGAATCTCAATCTCTTTATCTATTTTTATTTATCGTATTTTAAATAGGCCAATAGGCCCATAGGTATTTTGTCCCAAAAAACAAAAAAACAACGAAAATGTTCACAGCACCCCCTGTTGAAAAGTACTTCCAGTGGCTCTGCTCAGGTCCGTCTTCTTATATCACTACTGAGAGCATCTTTCAGAATCACACTTCTCCTACTTATATTTTCTATTTAGATGCATTTGTGCACTGCGTCTTCCCTCCATTTACACTTAATACTGTGGGCGCTTCATATCGAGTGACATTCAACCGTCACTCTCACCTTCAATGTACAGATAAGAAGGCAACTTGGGGTTATGTGCCTCAGCCAGGGCACAGCGACCTCTGGCCAGAGGAGCCTGAATAAATCCACCAATCGCATTGCACAACGACTCTTCCCACTGAGCCGCAGTTACCAAAGTAACATCACTTACCTTGACTTTTCCTAAGAGGACGTAAATTTCCCTCAGTTAGGAAAGCAATTGCTGTCATGTGATGGATGGAAATGTCACAGGACTGCTCAGAAGAGGGACGGGGATGCGTCTCCGCTAACTGACTGTGACAGCTGCTATGTCTGGGAGGAACATATGAATTAATACAGCGAAAGATGCTGCCTCTCCTGAGCCATCCACCATACCTCCCTCTGACGGCCGCGTCTTCTTAGGAGGCAAAGTGTTTTCTGCTGTCTCCCTGCAACTAAAGGGCTTTTACTTTAAGCCCCAGGGTGAATTTGTTTGAAAAAATGTTTTTCTGAGATAATTTCCATCTTGTACATTAATAAAAATACCCTTCCTGTTTTATGAGATGAGTTTAATACCAGTTTATCAACTATTTCCAGGTGCATTTTTTCATCTGCTACAATGAGGCTCATTTTAAATATCCTGTTTTAATAAACTAATACAAAATCACTTGAGTTAAAGGAAAAGATTAACCTTTAAAAAAAAGGGAATACTAGCTGATGTTAAGCATATCCTTTAATAAAAGTAGCGCCTCATTCGTTTGCTTAAGTTTCTGACTCCGTTCATCCGTGTGACTAGTTGTAGGGTAGTACTTGTGTCTCTTAAGATTGTTATATTCACAATAGTATAATTAAAATCACAGCTGGCAGAGCATGGCACAGCATTCTGTTTGGGATTTGGGGCAGACAGCGATTCAAAGAAAACTAACCATGGAGGAGTTCACTCAGCGAGCAATAATCTACTGACGCCGTCCTCAGGAGCACAGCCTCTTTTGGCACAAGGTGGATCCGAATTATAGGAAACTCTCACATGATTCAGACCACCATGAAAAGCTACATGGTTTGCTATTCAGTTATTATTTTCTAAGTGCTTGATGAGATGATTTTAAACTCAGGGGCGGATTTAGGAAATTTGGGGCCCTTGGCAAAGACAGGCAGGGGACCCTCTGAATTGAGAAGACAACACATAAAACAGATCCATTCAACAGATAGATAAATGTTAATAGAATAGACATCCATTATCTGTTCTAGGTTGTGTCCCTCTCTTCTTGTCCCTTTTCTTCTTGTTTTCCTCTCTATGTTTTGTACTCAGCTGACTTTTCATGCTGTCTCTAAAGGAATGAAAGATTTTTTCCAAGCACTAAGCTCACTTAGCTGATTGCTCCTTCCTGTGTTTCCAAAAAGGCCAAAGTAAATAACCCAGTCCTTCTTTTCACTGTAGACAAGCCATGAACTGCTTATCTGTTCTCCATTTTTCATTTGGATGAAATAATAGCTGCATGAATCATGACAGCAGACAAGATAGAGGAGAGCAGGAGGCGGGGTTACCAATCTACTTGCTCTGGAGAGCAGAGTTCGCTGCTTTTAGATGTTGTCTCCAAAGTCTCCAGTAGCAGAAAAAAAAGTTGCTAGATTTGGCGCTAGGAGCTTTTTAGAAATCAAAGTGCTATAGGGGTCTGAAAAGTGGCTAAATTGGCAACACTGCTCTTTGCATGGTTTGTTTTCAAATGGTTTGCTGCTGTCTGTTTGGACCTTTCTGAACATGTGCAGCAAATGGACTGATCCAATATGGTGGACACTGAAGGGGGAGGCTGAGACACACTTAATATTCTAAGCGTTCTGATGGCATTTTAGTGAAATTATTTTCATCAAAAACATAATTAATGTGCACAAATAAGGAAAAGTCGTATTAACTTTACATGTTTCATGGGGCCCCCAGGAACTTCTGCTAGTATTGTCTAATGGCAGGGGTGGAAAGTAATGAATTACATTTACTCAAGTTACTGTAATTGAGTACGTTTTATGAGTAATTTGTAATTTTCTGAGTAGTTTTTGAAATATGTAATTTTTACTTTTACTCGAGTAAATTTTAACCTAACTAGTTTTACTTTGCTACATTTAAAACCCCCTCACATTACTGAGTAAAAAATAAAAAATAAATAAATAAATACGGATGGTGAAAAAATGAAATGTGGCCCTGCCTTGAAATTACTCTTTGTATTGTCTGATAATCCAGTGCTGCGCTTCGAAAGATGGCAGCTGCTAATCATGACGTAGAGTGTATGGATGAGGAAACATATTCTGGAGACGAAAGCCAGAAAAACACTCGGCCATATTTAGAAGGATTATTTGTTTTCAAATGCACAAAAGGGAACGATGTGATAATGCAGTGCAACATGTGGCTGTCCAGCAAAACGGAGCTTTCGGCTTTTAAAACATCAACATCCAATTTACGAAAAAATGTGGCTGTAGGAGCTATTTCTCTATTTTTGTTTAAGAACTTAGATTATTTAGTTAGTTTGTATTTATTTGGTTATTTGTTGCATTTTTGTTTGAAAGTAGTTGCTTAGAATACAATTATTTCTTAGTAAATTGTTTAATTAGTTAATTGATTTTGCCTGGGTGTCTGGTATATAAATACATGGACTCCAGGTAGCTCAGGTGAAAAGTGGGTGGGCTTATGGTTTTTTACCAGTCTTCCAGTATTCTAGCTGCAGTCTACCAGGCCTTTCAGAAGGCAAGTCATTCAGCCTTAATCAGGTGAAGTGAGCACAAAGGCAGAAACCAGGCCAGGAGATGTGGCAAGTAGTCTTTTTGAGTTTTTGTATCATGTTTATTTTTCCTGAAGAAACCTGGAATAAACTAACTGAACTGCATTTTTCACGTATTTTGAGAATTTTTTGTACTGCGTAAAACCAGAAACCCACTATTCCTCAAGTGACTATTTGATTTACATTTATTTTTTGCTTTTTCATTTTTAAGTTTTTTCATAGACAACTAGTCACTACATCAAGTAAAAAACCCGCCCTTGGACCTTTGTTTTCAACGATCTCAAATCTGCTGATGAGTGGATAGTGAAGCCATGGATTCAACTTCTTTGTTCTTGGATGGTGTCACCTGGAGGAAGTGCCGCGCCCACAAGCCATGAGGTGCCTCACTTACAAGCCCCAAACACTCATGTCTGTCTTCAATGAGAACGGTATGTACAAAGATTGCTAATGCTGTAAAGGAAAACGGCCAGACGATTGGAGTTTGATGATAGCAATCAATGTTAAAGCACAAGTTTGTCAACATGAAGATGAATTAAGGATTGAATTAAAGCATTTGCATTCTTAAACAAAGTAAGTGGATTTGAAATATAAATGGAACAAAGGCAACAACAAAGTTACACGCAGTTTAAAGTTTGTGCACAAAATGTCTGATGTAACAAAACCACAGATGGCCAAGAGTGACTCAGAGGTTTCATCCAAAAGAAGCATTAAATACACTGAGAAAGGCTTGATGTCATATATAAAAACATGCCAAGATAAAAGAAGTGCTAAATTGAAACAGGGAAGATGGATAAAAGATGATTTAAATGTTTTGATGAAATCAAAGGATAAGGCTGACTCAGTAAAGTCTCTTTTGGCTAAATTTATGCAATGTTGTGAGGATGCAGAGGTGTCGCATAAACAATTAACAAGTATGCCACTCCCCTCTGATGAACTCAAGAGACAAAATGAACATTTTCAAAGTATAATGAGTACATACCAGGAGTTTACTGAATGTGTAAAGGGATGGTTATATGAACTGGGTACGCCATTTGTGATACCAAATGCAGATACTGATGATCAAGTCAAAAATAACACTGAAGATGTAATTAACCCTGAAGACAGTGTTTCCAATGTGTGCTCTGTAAAGTCCAATCCATGTTCTCAAGTGTCCCGTGTCTCTTCCATTAAATCTGCACACATAAGAGCAGAGGCAGAAAGAGCAGCGCTGTTGGAGCGTGCTGCAACTCTCAAAAGGAAGCATCAGCTTGAAGCTATGGAGGAGAAGTTAAAACAAGAAAGGGAGCAATTTGAACTTGAGACAGAGCTAGCAGCTGCTAATGCAAAGCTGTGCATATTTGAAATAAATTCACAAGGTGGCTCGAAATGTTCTGATCTAATGAATTCGTACATTAAAAAAGGTATTTGTAAGTCAGGGCCAAAACTTAATGCAAGTGCCAACATAGTCGTCCCCGAGGACAAGGATTATGTTATGTCCTCTGCCATCTCTGAGCATCCAGTTGTTCGACTGAAACATAAGTTAGCAATTCAAGGCACCGATGAGCCACAAAGTGTCCATGCTCAACTAAATGTTCAAAGTCCAGACACAACTGTACAGCCACAACTGGAACAATTGGATCATCAAACCAGTATAATTAACATCATGCAAAGGCAAAATGACATCAATGCCATGTTGGTTCAGCAAAGTCAGAGTTCGGTTTTGCCACCAAGAAGCATTCCAGTTTTCGATGGCAACCCTCTTGAATACAAATCATTCATAAGAGCATTTGAGAACGTTGTGGAAGCCAAAACATCTAACTTAAGTGATTGTTTGCACTTCCTAGAACAATTCACTAGGGGACAACCTAGAGACCTTGTGCATAGTTGCCAGCATTTACCATCGGAATTGGGCTATCGTGAAGCTGAAAATCTTCTTTCTGAACATTTTGGAAATGAATACAAGATTGCACAGGCCTATATGGATAAAATTAACAATTGGCCAGCTATTAAAAGTGAGGATATTAAATCACTGGAAGCATTCGCTCTGTTTCTTAAGGGATGCTCAAATTTAACGAAACACCTCACTCATATGAAAGAACTGGACTTGCCTTCAAATATGAGGAGCATAATCTTTAAGCTTCCCTATAAAATGAGAGAGAGATGGAGAAATGTAGCCTGTGACCTGCAAGAAAAAAGGGATCAAAGAGCATTATTTACCGATCTTGTTGCTTTTATTGAAAAGCAGGTTAAAATTGCATCTGATCCGTTGTTTGGCAATATCATTGACCTTCAACAGTTCAGCTCTAAAAACCCCAATACCGGCTTTACAAAACCAAAGAAAAAGGGAAGCAGCTTTGCTACAAAAGTTCTTTCAGTGAATAATGAATCACCTGAAGATGAGATGAAGTCCTCTAAAAGCCACAACTGTTTGTATTGTTTCAAAAGTAATCACTCAGTTGACAAATGTTTTAAGTTTAAAGACAAGCCACACAAGGATAAAGTGAACTTTATTCAAGAAAAAGGCATGTGTTTTGGTTGTTTAAAGGTGGGACACATAAGCAAAGAATGCAGAGGTCGCTTGGTCTGTACTGTCTGTCACCAACAACATCCCAGTGTCCTGCACATTGACAAGGAAAGTACAAAAGCTTTCTCCAGATGTCCACAGATTCCTCTGAGAACCACGTCCACCATGACTCAAACCTGTAGTCATATTAAGGTCTGTGATGAAGATAATTCAATTCTCTCTATTGTTGCAGTTCAAGTTAGGAGTCCAACAACCAACTCAACCGTGCAGACATATGCATTTCTGGACCCGGGCAGCACAGCGACATTCTGCACAGAGAGTCTAGCCAGAAAGCTGCAACTGAAAGGCAAAAGAACAAGCATTCAGCTGCAAACGATGGGTCATAAAGACATTGTGAGTACAAACATCATTTCTGGACTTCAAGTAGCAGCGTTTGATAAAAATGATTTCATTGATCTTCCAGATGTCATGACACAAAAACTAATGCCTGTTTCAAAGCGAAATGTTCCACAACAGGAGGACATTAACCAGTGGCCATACCTGCAAAGTATCAAGCTCCACAACATAGATGCTGATGTAGATTTGCTCATTGGCACAAACGCACCTAAAGTAATGGAGCCGTGGGAGCTGATAAACAGCCAGGACGATGGCCCATATGCAGTTTGGACTCGAGTTGGTTGGGTCATTAATGGACCACTTAGGAGTGAAAGGAAAAAGACAGATTTTCATGCTTTCACCGCAAACAGGATTTCTGTTCAAAATCTGGAAACAATGTTGATTGAACAATATAATCATGATTTCAATGAAAAAACATCCCAAGAACAGATTGAAAATTCCAGAGAGGATAGCAAGTTTATGGATATCATGAACAATACAGCACATTTAATCAATGGACATTATTGTATTGATTTGCCTTTTAAGGCTGAAAATCCTTCCTTGCCAGTGAACCGCTGTATTGCAGAGCAACGTCTTCAAAGCCTGAAAAAGAAGTTTGATAAAAGCCTCACCTTCAAGAAAGATTACATTGCTTTTATGGATGACATGATATGTAACGGATACGCTGAAGTTGTTCCTGATGACCACTTGGTGGGCAGTGAGGGAAAAGTGTGGTATATACCCCACCATGGTGTTTATCACCCCAGAAAAGGCAAACTAAGAGTTGTTTTTAATTGTGCTGCGACATTCAAGGGGACCTCACTGAATTGCCAGCTATTACAAGGACCTGATCTGACCAACTCAATTGTGGGAGTTCTTGTGCGCTTCAGACAAGAGCCTATTGCCATTATGGCAGATATTCAGGCCATGTTTCACCAGGTCCATGTTCCAGAGAAACATAGAGACTTTCTTCGCTTCCTCTGGTGGCCCAATGGTGACACATCCCAAGTTCCACAAGAATATCGAATGACAGTGCATCTGTTTGGAGCAGTTTCCTTGCCGAGCTGTGCAAATTTTGCATTAAGAAAAACAGCAGAAGACAATGCTCAGCAATTTCCAGCTGAAGTGGTCAGTACTATCAAGCATAATTTCTATGTGGATGATTGCCTGAAATCTTTGCCTACAGAAAAAGAAGAAATAAATTTTACCCAAGATTTGACAGCTCTTTGCAATAAAGGAGGATTTAAGCTCTCCAAGTGGATAAGTAATAATCATGCAGTGTTGCAAACATTTCCAGACAACATCAAAGCAAAGGAAATACTGGAACTAGATTTGGAGCTTCCAATTGAACGGGCGCTTGGCTTACAGTGGTGCACTCAAGGTGATGTCTTTAAATTTAAAGGTTCATTTCCAGAGCGGCTGCACACGAGAAGGGGAATACTGTCAGTAGTAAGCTCATTGTATGATCCCCTGGGTTTTCTCGCTCCCTTCATCATCACCGCCAAAATGATACTACAGGAGCTCTGCAGGAGAAACCTGAGTTGGGACGATGCTGTTCCTAATCATTTCTCCAAACAGTGGACCGACTGGATGGATGATCTGAAGAGGATCTCAAAGTTTGAAGTGGACCGCTGCATTAAGCCTAAATACTTTTGTCCTGTTACTGCACAGCTTCACCACTTCTCTGATGCCAGCCAAGTGGGATATGGTACAGTGTCATATCTAAGATTAAAAAATGAGCATCATGTACACCTAGCATTCCTCCTGGGAAAGGCAAGAGTTGCTCCTCTGAAGCAGACAACCATTCCTCGTTTGGAGCTGACTGCAGCTGTCCTCGCTGTTCGAATGGACCAACTACTACACAGAGTTGCATCTTGAGCTTGAGACATCCGTTTTCTGGACTGACAGTACCACTGTCTTAAAGTACATCTGCAGTGAAGCAAAGAGGTTTCATACCTTTGTTGCTAACAGTGTCCATCATCAGAGATGCTACGCAAACTGATCAATGGAGATATGTGAGTTCTAAAGATAATCCAGCAGATGAAGCATCAAGAGGGATGAAAGCGGAAAACCTTATGGAGCAGAGTAAATGGATTAATGGTCCCGAGTTCCTGTTCGAGTCTGAAGATAAATGGCCTAAATTGGAGGTAAAGTATGACTCACTTCCTGCTGACGATTCTGAAATAAAAAAGAATGTGACTGTCAACACTGTTATTGAGAAGATTAAATGCCCTACCAGTTTTTTCATCTTCTACTTCTCATCTTGGACAAAGCTAAAGACATCTGTAGCTTGGGTTTTAAAGCTCAAAGAACTCCTTATTTTGCTGTCTCAGAAAAGACAAGAGTTTTCTGCTATGTTACAGCAGTCTGCAGAAGATGGAAACACCAAGAAGAAAAGGGTGTCCCAAAAGATGCAACAGTTTAAAGCTATGCTGAAGAAACAGTGTTTGACATCTGAAGATCTGGCTAAAGCAGAGCGTTGCATTATTCAGTTTGAGCAACATCTCAAGTTTGGTCCAGAAATCATCTTGATCAAAGCCAAAAGGATCGTTTCTAAAGACAGCCAGCTGTACAGACTTGATCCAGTGTTGGACGATGGAGTCCTCAGGGTGGGTGGACGTCTTAAAAGAGCGGCTATGCCATTTGAAACGAAACATCCTGTCATCCTGTCCAAAGACATGCATGTGGCAACCTTGATTCTGCTCTACATTCACCATCTGCTGGGTCATGCAGGAAGAAACCACATGCTGTCCAGGCTGCGTCAGAGATATTGGATAATCAATGGAAACTCTGCTGCCAGAAAAATCTTGTCTGATTGTGTGACCTGTAGAAAAAATAGAGGGAAGCTTTTGCAACAAAAAATGGCTGACTTACCCCAGGAAAGGGTTGCACCTGACAAAGCTCCGTTTACAGATGTGGGAGTTGATTATTTTGGCCCCATTGATGTTAAGAGAGGCAGAAGTCTGCTCAAACGTTATGGAGTAATATTTACATGCCCAACAAGTCGTGCTGTTCATTTGGAGGTGGCTCACACCCTTGATGCAGATTCTTGTATCAATGCTATCAGAAGATTCATCTGTAGACGTGGTCCTGTCTCTTCCATCAGGTCAGACAACGGCACGAATTTTGTGGGAGCCAACAGAGAACTAAGAAAAAATCTGACTGCCTTGAACCAGAGCAAGATCCAAAGAGTTCTGGTCCAAGATGGCCTAAACTGGCACTTTAATACACCGGCAGCTTCACATCAAGGTGGTGTCTGGGAGCGTTTGATTCGTTCTATCAGAAGTGTACTCACCTCAGTTCTAAAACAGCAGGTTGTGGATGATGAGACTTTGCAAACCGTTTTCTGTGAGGCTGAAGCCATTCTGAATGATAGACCCATCACACTGGTCTCTGACGATTCGGATGATTTAGAAGCCCTTACACCAAATCACATCCTGACCCTAAAGAACAAACCTGTTATGCCACCTGGGCTGTTTCAAAAGCAAGATCTGTACCTCCGACGACGATGGAAACAAGTACAATATATGGCCGAACTGTTTTGGAAAAGATGGATCTCTGAGTATTTGCCTTTGATGCAGGAAAGACAAAAATGGATGAGACCGAGAAGAAACATCACTGTTGGAGATATTGTCCTGATTGCAGATGCGACAGCACCCAGAGGATGTTGGCAGATGGGGAGAGTCCTAGCTGTCAACGCTGATGTACGAGGACTGGTTCGTTCAGTGCAACTTCGGACCAAAACCAGTGTGCTGGAGAGACCAGTGACGAAGCTCTGCTTGCTTTTGGAAGCATCTGAGGACTAAGGACATTTATTCTCTCTTTTTTCTTCCTCTCTTTCTTTCTCTCTTTTATCCAATCTCTTTGCAGGTTAATAATAAAGAAGAATGAAGAACCCAGAAGATTTGCTTTGTATTGAAATTGTTGTTAGAATAGCTCCTTTTAGTTAAAGAAGTAATTGTAATTTAATGCACAATTGGGGGCCGGAGTGTAGGAGCTATTTCTCTATTTTTGTTTAAGAACTTAGATTATTTAGTTAGTTTGTATTTATTTGGTTATTTGTTGCATTTTTGTTTGAAAGTAGTTGCTTAGAATACAATTATTTCTTAGTAAATTGTTTAATTAGTTAATTGATTTTGCCTGGGTGTCTGGTATATAAATACATGGACTCCAGGTAGCTCAGGTGAAAAGTGGGTGGGCTTATGGTTTTTTACCAGTCTTCCAGTATTCTAGCTGCAGTCTACCAGGCCTTTCAGAAGGCAAGTCATTCAGCCTTAATCAGGTGAAGTGAGCACAAAGGCAGAAACCAGGCCAGGAGATGTGGCAAGTAGTCTTTTTGAGTTTTTGTATCATGTTTATTTTTCCTGAAGAGACCTGGAATAAACTAACTGAACTGCATTTTTCACGTATTTTGAGAATTTTTTGTACTGCGTAAAACCAGAAACCCACTATTCCTCAAGTGACTATTTGATTTACATTTATTTTTTGCTTTTTCATTTTTAAGTTTTTTCATAGACAACTAGTCACTACAGTGGCGGTAAGTTAGTTATCATCAGAGATGGGAAGTAACAAAGTACAAATACTTCGTTACTGTACTCAAGTAGATTTTTCTGATATTTTTACTTTACTACTTATTTTTATGGCGACTTTTTACTTCTACTCCTTACATTTTTACACAAAGATCTGTACTTTCTTCTCCTTACATTTTAAAAAATTGGCTCGTTACTTTAGTTTTGAATCATTTCAATGGAGTTACCGTTATTATTTTTCACGTCATCAATACCAAATTCAATCTAATTGGATGGGAATCTATGTTGCATTTGACGCACCACTACAAGATGAATCGACAGATTCGGCGGTATTCATTGGCGGCAAATCATTGCAGCTTGGTGGCGGTGGCGTTAGCATAGTAGCATGGACGACGAGATGATTGAAAATGAACACAACGGAGATCTAGTCCTATTGGCAGACATCCATTTAAAATGTAGGCAACGGCATGAAAAAAGTGGTTTCTACTTTTACTTTGATACTTTAATTAAATTTACAAGCCTGTACTTTGTTACTTTTACTTGAGTAAAGAAGTTTAATCAGAACTTCCACTTTTACCAGAGTATTTTTTAACACAAGTATCTGTACTTTTACTCAAGTACGGAAAGTGAGTACTTTTGCCATCTTTGGTTATCATGGTGTTGTCTGTTGGACAGTAGGATTGAAAATAGTTTGCACTTTATGGTTCAG